GGCCACCCTCGGCGGCCCCACGGCCACCGTCGCCCTGACGACATCCCCACCGCTGCGCCCATCACCATCCCCCCGTCACCGCCCCCGCCGCTGGCCACCCTGACCGCCTCCTGTAACTGCCCCCAGCTCCCCACAAACTGCCCCCATGAGCCCCTTTGTCTCCCATAGCTGCCCCCCGGGACTGCCCCAGTGACCTCCAGTTCTGCCCAGGGACGCAGCCCAGGACACCCACAGCCGGGCTTTGGGCTGGGATCCCCACACCAGCCCTGCTCCTGGGGGGCAGCCCTGTGGGGGTGACCCCTGTGGCATGGCAGGGTGAGCTGTGGGAACATGGCAGGATGAACTGGGGGGTCCTGGTGGGGCAGGCGGTGGGGCTGTTACTGTACAAGCCCGCAGAGGAACTCTCTTAACACTCGTTTTGGAGTTTTAGGAAGCAGGCATTCTTAATTGAAGCGCTGGATGCACAGGGGATCATTCCACCCAACGTGCACACACTAAAACAAAAGTTCATCCTTGATATACCTTAAGCACACGAACATACATTTCCCAAGAATTGGAATTCTCCACCTTTCTGCCTATCTCCAATATTTACATAATGCTGGTGTTGCAAAACTACACTGTGCATGTGTGGAAGGTCTAGTGTGGTCTTTGGTGATTGTTTGGGGAGTTAGTCCCCTACTTCTTTTTCCCTTTTATGGTCATGAGTCTTTTGAGGACAATTTCTTCTCCTTGGATGTTTCCCAGCTCTGTTGTCCGGCCAAGCTGTTCTTTCTTATCCACCTTGTTTAAGCATTTCCCCCAGGATCTATCCATTTTTAAGGTTAGGATATCCTCTCTGTACATTTTAATCACTCGGGCCTTGTTAAATACAAAGTTAAACATTGTTTGGTAAAAGAATTTCTTAATATTCCCCCCTTTGAGACTTCCAAGTATACACAACTGGGCACAACAGCACCACATAAGATATAACAGAATGCTTCTCTTATCACTAATCGTTACAGGCCTCAACTTGCGGGCACCAACTGCTCACGGGCATCAGCTAGAAGGCATCAGGGTCTGGAGGGTTGAGCCGGGGGGCCTAGGCAGGAAGGGTGGTGGGGCCCCGCGGGGGTGAGCTGTGGGGCCCTGGTGTGGGGAGCCATGGTTGCCATTGGAGTGGCCCGTGGGGCGCCTCGTGGGGTGGGCCCCTCTGTGGCGGGCGGTGCCATGGGGCAGGAAGCGCTGTGGGTGTGGAAGCCAGCAGCCCTGCGCAGTGGGCTGTGCGCAGTTCGCAAGCGCCCCACGGCTCACACCGCCATGGCGGTGCATGCTGCCTTCCTTGTGTCCACCCTCCTCCTCCTTTGCGGGATGGGCCCCTGCCTTGCTGCTGCCCACAGCCCTTCAGGTAAGGGGGCACATAGGCCCCAGGGGGCGTGGGAGGCTGCGGTGCCCCATAGGTGATGGGGCTGGGGAATGTCGCTCCTTGGCGATGGCGAGCAAGGAGAACAGGACATGGGGCTGCGTGGGCTGGGAAGCCATTGGGGCATGCGCCAGAGATCCCGTGACGCTCCGATGCGCCAGAGACACCCAGCACGTACACGGTTTCTTGTAGTGGTACTGCTGGGGGAGCTGGGCTGTTCCAGGGAGCCCTCTTGGATGTGCCTGCCCTGGTGCTTGAGCATTACTGGCAACACCAGCCCCATGGCTACCAGCCCTGCAGCTGCCAGCCCAGCAGGCAACACTGCTGGGAGGGACCCTGGCCATGGGGGTCCCAGGTGGCAGGCCAGGGTGCGGGGCAGTGGCAGGACGTGATGCATAGATCCTATTGGACCCATGCATCAGCTGGGCAGGGTGGCAGTGGCTCCTCTTTCCACCCAGTACCTTCAGCCCAGATGTCATTTTCTGAGAAAAAGTCTACTTCTTGGCTGGCTGTCAGTAAAACACCAGTTTACCCTGGAAGCTCAGCCTCTCTGTATCCCTGGACTTCCTGGGCTGCCAGAATGCTGCTCTCCATCTCCACATGTGGAAACAGCTGGGGTGCAGCCCCTTTGCTTCACCGTGTTACATTACAACCAAGGAAAGCCCTGCTCTGGCTTTCTCCTGCCCCCACAGTGCTGGCTGATGCGTTTGCACCTCACAAGGGACCAGGTGTCCCATTGACTGGTTTTTAGGGGGAAAAATCCTATTTTCTGGATGCCTCCAGAACAGCTTTCAGCCATCAGCATCTGGCTTGGCACATGCAAGGGCTCTGTGAGGCACCTCCATCCATCGGAGCAGCTCATCCTGCAGTGACCCACGCCAGTGGCCACTAGAGCAGACTGTGACATGGTACCTGATGCAGGGACCAGCACTGCTCTGGTGGCCCTGCAGCCCCCAGACAGCCCAGGATGTGGCCTCCAGCTGTGTGGGCAGGACTGGGGCTGGCACAGCGCAGCGGAAAGAGGGGGCAGACGAGCCAGCGTGGGTTCCTGGAGCAGCTGCTCAGCCTCCTGGGGCTCAGTGGTGTTTTCTGCAGAGATCAAACCACCAGGGCTCAGCCCCTGGCCCTGTGGTGGAGAGGCTGTGGTGGGAAGCACATCCCAGCATAGCTCCCATCACCCAGACACAGGGACACATGGGCACCTGCAAGCACCCAAAAGGGTAATAGCAAGATGAATTTAGCCAGGATGGAGACATCAGGCACAAATCCTGGAAACCCCCTGATTTTCTTACAGGAAAAGCAAGATGGGTTGGCAGGGTGGGGTTTCCGTCCTATCCCACAGTGCAAGGGGCTGCAAACAGGTCTGCAGGGTGTCTAAGGGGAGTGGATGGAGGACTGAGGATGAAGCACCACATCCACAGCATGAGGAGCAGACAGCACGGATGCAGGAGGGACAGCAGCTTGCCTCAAAATCCTTCGGAGGAAGCAGGGCTGCTGGCAGCCTGAGTGTCACTGGCACAGCATGTGTGAATAGGGTGGTGGGGCCCCAGCATTTCAGACAGGCTGCACCACAGCTCTGCTGGGAAGAACTGGGCTTCTTTGGCTCACATGGAGGAAGGCTGATGGGGGTGTGCCACGTCTCCCCGGTGCACTCCTTGGTCCTGGTACATCCACCCACCGCTGCAGTGCCCAGTGGTGTCTATCCCTTGTAGGGGTGGAGTGTGTCCTCTTCAACGAGGAGTACATGACCTGCATGTGGGGAAGCAGAGAGACACTCACGGCCAACTACTCCCTCTACTACTGGTACGTGCCCCTGCCCCATGGCCAGCCCCACAGCAGGGTGTCCAGCAGTGGGTCCCTGCATGGGAGGCTTCTGATGGTATTGCTGGTCCCAGCATTAGCCTGCTCCTCTTCCCTGAGCCCAGGGTGCGGGAGGCTCTGGGGGAAAGAGGGCTGTGATATGCTGGGGAGAGAGGTCCCAGGGAGGGCTGGGACATGTGGGGTCTCAGGGAACCCTGGTAACCTGCTGCTGCATAGGTACGAGAACAGGTCCCCCGTGGTGGAGTGCAAGCACTACCTGCAGGACCAGGGTGTCAGCATTGGCTGCTACTTCAATCAGAGCGAGATCATCCAATTCCAGCCTTTCCGTGTCCTCATCAATGCCAGCCTCGGCAGCAGGACCCTGAAGTTCCTCAGCAAGCCCATGGAGCTGCAGGACCTGGGTACGGAGTGGTGGGGGGAACCCACTCTCCTCTGTGGGTCAGGAGCAGGGCTGCCCCATCACATCCTGGCTGGCAGCAGGGCCACCATGGCATGGGGACAGCATTCACCAGGCATCACTCGTGCTTTGCAGTGAAACCAGAAGCACCTGTCAACCTGACTATCCGCAACATGAGCAGCAACCAGCTGCAGCTGACCTGGACCTCCCCATACCCCAAAGCTCAGTGCCTGGAGCACGCTGTCAAGTACAAGAGCAACAAGGACACCAACTGGATGGTGGGAGTCCCCTGGATGTGGTACCCCAGTTGTTGTGCCCAGACACGAGCTGTGCACCAGTGCTGGTCCTTGTCCCATGACCCACATGTCTCTGCAGGAGCACCAGGTGAAAGGAGACATCTTCTCCTTCCCCAGCGTGGACTATGAGAAGTACTACACCTTCTATGTGCGCAGCAAGATTAACAGCTACTGTGGCAGGACCCAGCTCTGGAGTGAGTGGAGCGTCCCTGTGGTCTGGGGCAGCAACTCCACCAGCAAGGGTAGGTTCTGAGGGCTGTGGTGGGATGGGACAGGCTGCAACATGGTGGGGCTCAGCAGGTGAGAGATGACCAAGCAAATGGAAAACTGGCCCAAGGCAGCAGCTGTAAGGGTGAGACCCATCCGAGCACCTGGGGCACAAGCAGTGGCATCAGCCCCTGCATCCTTTGCACTTCTGGAAGCCAAATATCCACTGCTAGTGGGACCAGCTGACTTTTTCCAGGGGTTTCTTAGCCCTGGAGGGATGTTCTGGCACAAGCAGTACAGGGTCACCATCCAGTTGTGGTGACAGCATGGCAGGGTTTGGGGATGGGCTCCTTCTCCATCCTCTGCTCCAAGCTGAGCCCTGCCACAGACAATGCTGAGCTGCATGGCCACCCACGAAGGGCCATAGATGTGCCCACCCCACTGCTGTGGTGGTGTGCTGGCCAGGGGTCCATGTCACCCCAGCTCTTTCCAGGCACGGCAGAGGAGCAGCTGCACTGGTTCTGGATCCACACAGTCTTGATCCCCATCGCCTCCTGCCTGCTCCTGCTGGTCCTTGTCGTCCTGCTGGTGCGCATGGAAAGGTGAGCATGGGAGCAGGTGGGAGGCAGCAGCACTGGGGCTCTTACCCTCCAACACATTTCTCCCGTGCAGAGTGTGGGTCATCCTTATGCCCCGAATCCCCAACCCCAGCAAGAACTTTGACGAGCTCTTCATCACCCACAACGGCAACTTCCAGGTAAGGCTGCTGTGGGCAGCCCTGCCCTGGGCTTACCCCCTGCCCCAGGGGGTTGGGGCTGGGCTGGCTGGTAGCTCCTCTCACCCTGTTTTGCTCCCTGGAGGAATGGGCCGGAGTCCCCAAAGACGTCGTGGAGAGCTTCAGGCCCAACTACAGCGAGAACATCTGCTATGTGAGCGAGCTGCCCCCCAAGGACAGCTGTGAGCCCCTCTGGGAGAGCGGCAACTACTCACCATCTGTAATGCCCGGGACCCCAGCTGCACCTCGTGAGCACAGCCCTTACAAGAACAGCTATGTGGGACTGTGATGCACTCCTGCGTCCCTCACGCTCTGCACCCCTGCTGCCCAAAACCTCACCACCCTTCACGCCTCGCTCCCAGCTCCTGCTCTCCCTCTGCCAAATGCCCAGGACCCCCAGCCCTGCTCCCCGCCACGGCCACACCGAGACCCCCATCGCAGATGAAAGTATTGGCATGGTAATGATTTAGCAAGAAATCTAGATTTATTAATAACTAACAGCAATTTATCAATACAAAATAATTCAGAAATGCTGAAAGAAAAGTGACTTATTCACAGATTCTAAAATGACAAGATTTACACTAACTTACTTAACGGTACCTTAATTTATACATATATATACATGTGCATACACAAAATGGACATATACACACACACAGAAGCAAACGTGTTTGGATTCAGTAAAAAGAACACAAAACAGACAAATACACACAGAAACAAGGGTACGTACCCACCCGCCCCCAATAAACAGAGAAAGAATGGGTGAAAGAGAAGCTGGCTCAAAGAAAATTTCCCTCTTGAGTTTAGAACATATATTCCCAATGCCTTGGCATTCCTCAACAGGCGATAATTGAGACTCGAGCGGGTGGACTTCGCCCCAGCCTTCCGTCTGGAGCAGACGACACCTTAAGGGTTTTGGTACCTGGGAGGCATCCCAGCTCAAGGGAGATGCTGGTCACAGGCCGCTGCGATCCAGGAGAGCTCAAAGGGTCTCCCTGGTGGTCACAATTTATGGGGTCCAAGACAATTGACTTTTGTCAAATACTTTCGGGTGCCTACGGGCAGTTGCAAAGTGCAACTCTGTTATTGTTCCATCTGACCACATGCCAGGCACAGGTGTGCCAGGCCATCAGGAGATGATGGGCCATTATAACCGTTTGGGAGCAATTGGGAGGGGCAGGAGCCTGGCTAGTTAAGGGGGCGCCTTAACCTTAACAGTCCCTCTCTCCACAGATTGGTGCATAGCTCGGGGGAGGTGAGTGGAATCACACCTGGCACCAAGCAGCCCAACAAGGAAGGGTGGGGAGGGGTAGGAATTGTACCACCACAACCCCATGACAGGGTGACTGTGCTGTGCTGCAGGGTGCACGGTGTGCTGGGTGCGTCACCCAGTGCACTGGGTGCGCAGGGTGCAGCGCGTAGTAGCTTGGGTGCATTATTTGTTGCATGCGTGTGATGTATTGGGTGCACTGGGTTTGTTGCAGCACACTGGGCTCACTGCACGGTGCCCTGGCCGTGAGGTGTCCAGGAGGGCAGGGTGACATGGACCCCAACACAAGCCCTGCCATGTGCAGGACCCCTCATGGGGTCGCTGTGGTGGAGCAGAGCCGTGGGAGAGCTGATGGGCTCCCACACCGCCCTCCTGTGGGCCCCCGCACTGGAGGCTTGCTGGGCCCCACTCCTTGCTCCAAGGTGCCCACAGGCACATCCAGGGACATGTCCTGAAGAGGGGGCAGCTGCAGCTGAGCAGGCAAGAGCCACTGGCTGACTGATGGGGACACGGGGGCTGAGAAGCGCCAAGTGTCAGAGGGGCCAAGTGTGAAAAAATTATGGAAGATACATAAGGAGGATTGTAAATACAAAATCACAGAATTATCTAGATTGAAAAAGACCTTGAAGATCATCCAGTCCAACCATTGACTTAACACTGACAGTTCCCAACTCCATCATATCCCTCAGTGCTGTGTTGACCCGACTCTTAAACCCCTCCAGGGATGGGGACTCCACCACCTCCCTGGGCAGCCCATTCCAACGCCCAACAACCTGTTCTGTAAAGAAATGCTTCCTGATATCCAGTCTAAACCTTCCCTGGCACAATTTGAGGCCATTCGCTCTTGTCTATTGCTTATTACTTGGTTAAAGAGACTCATCCCCAGCTCTCTGCAATCTCCTTTCAGGGAGCTGTGGAGGGCGATGAGGTCTCCCCTCAGCCTCCTCTTCTCCAGACTAAACCCCCCCAGTTCCCTCAGCCGCTCCCCGTACGACCTGTGCTCCAGACCCTGCACCAGCTTCGTTGCCCTTCTCTGGACACGCTCAAGTAATTCAGTCCACTGAAGTGACTTGCAGCTAGGGTGTAGAAAAACACATATATGACATTAAGTGTTCTTCAGCCTTGTGTGTCTGACAAGTAGAACATGTGTGTTTAGATAACATAGGCCTGTGAGAGACTGAGAGGCACCTAACGAACATGCTTGAGATGCCTGCCCTGCTGCGGGGAAGACCGTGCCTGCACGAGTACCTGATCAACAGGCAGACCCAGCGGGGCCGGCGGTGCTCTAGCACGGGCCGAGCTCTGCAGTGCCCGCGTCCCCGCTTATGTGCCGCTGCCCGGGGGCATCCCCCGGTTGGCGAGGTAACGCAAATAAATGCACTCGTCGCATTTCATCCCTGGTTTTGTGGCTGTTCCTGTGTCCTGCCGGCGCCAGCTCACACCCACCAAGCTACCGTGTCACCCCCGCACCGAGGGATGCTGCTGCCGCCGGGCCCCCCCGAGCCTCGCCGCTCCCTGGCCGCGCCGGGGGCTCGGCGGGGCTCGTCCTGCCGGGGCTGGGGGAGGACCCGGCGGCGCCCCGCCCACACATGACGTCACACGCGGGGCGGGGCCAAG